TTTGCAAGATTTTTGGAACATTGTAACTATAATATTACATTTATAATTGAAGGGGTTAGAATAAAAAGGGTATAAGTAACATTTTCATTGTTTGGATATATTTGAAGTTAAAGTTATGTTACCATAAAAAAGTGAAAGTGAAGTGAAAAGTGATTTTTCTACTTGATAATAAAGGTCGCTAGAAGTATTGAAAATTACTTAAATCCTTTTCATTTCGATACGTCGGAACCTTATCTTTCACAAAACGAACTTATCTCCTAAATTAAAGAAATTTCTATTCTAACCCCTTCAATTATAACTTTAGTTTTGGACTATGTTTCATCCGAAATATTGCATTAAGATAATTTTTGCAATTTTGTTTGAAGACTGACTTGCTGATGCATCTCGCCGCTGTCTTGGTCATTTATATCTTTATAAGTGAACAGTGTCGAGCTTGATGCGTATCTCCCGTCACCGACTGCCTGACACTGATGAGGCCAAACAGGTCGAAACAGTCTGTCTGTCAGTGTTGGTGGGTATGATGCATTAGTCATTGGACCATACCATTCGGGAGACGCGCTTCTATGGCAAGCCGTTTTAGTTTTTATTACACATGGCTATCAAGTCCCATTTTAATTCGACTTGATTTCCATGAGACATTAGATAATTGAAATTATATGTATTTTCCTTAAGGGAAATTACATTTTAATTACAAATTATAAATAAAATTCCTTTTTTAATAAGCATTGAAATTTTGGGTACATTAAATTGAAAAGATTAGATGTAGAGGATGATTTACATTCGAAATTGTAATAAAAATACTAAAACATTTCATTTTTATTTGAAATAATAATAAAAATTATTTTTATGACAAATAGTAATTTTAATGCAAATTTCGTTAAGGAAAATAGTTTTTATTATAATTAAGAATTTAAATGCATTTCCGTTAACGGAAATGCAATTTCCCTTAAGGGAAATATCATTTCTGTTAAGAGAAATTGTATTTCCCTTAAGGGAAATAGCATTTCCGTTAAGGGAAATTGGCGCCATCTATGAGAGGACGGCTGAAGTTCAAATAGTTAATTTTATCAAAATTCTATAAAATGAAATTATTGCACTGTGATTTTACAAAAGATTTATTAGTAAAAAGAATTTTTTTGATTGTTACCTTTTTAATTTAAAAACCAACCGTTACACCTGTTGACATCCACCCACAAAATATCACCCACCAGTGTTGCCAGATGTAAAAAGTGAATTTATCGACAAATCATCGACAAATTATTGACAAAATTATCGAATTTTCAGAAAATTGTCACAAAATTTGTATTGATAATGCTGTACCAAAGTTGGCAGAACTCTGTAAGCGGTGGAACCTTCGGTATCTTCATCACAGATAGCGCCACTAATTTCTCTTAAGGGAAATGTAATTTCTGTTAAGGGAAATAGCATTTCCGTTAAGGGAAATAACATTTTCGTTAAGGGAATTGTAATTTCCCTTAACGGAAATAGAAGTTTATTTTTGTTTAGTTAAAAATAAAAGTAATTCGAGCTATTTTTTGTACACATGATCATTAAGTCTCATTTTAATTCGATGTTATTTTCTGATTCTCTAAATATTGTTAGACTCTATATATTGCGGTTCTAAATTTTATTCGGGAACAACATTTCAATCAGTATTTTAAATTAAAATGTTTTTAATTTTTATGTCATTTAGGAAAGTATAAAACTATATCTTTAAGGACAAATGCATTTATATTCATAATAGTAATTTTAATTCGTTTTATTTTAATACTTAGCCTGGTCTAACATAAATAAAATGTAACATTGTATCCAAGTCAGAAGCTACTTTAATAAAATTGAATTAAAATAAAATCCTTTTAATGTGTCATAAAATTGCTCCAAAAAACTAAAACAGTAAAAATAATTTGCATTAAAATTATAATTAGTAAATTTAATAAAATTTCTGTTAACGAAAATTGCTTTCACGTTAAGGACAATATTTAAAAATCCAATGGAAATAAATACAACAAATGCATTATTTTTACTATTTGTAAAGAAAATATGCATTCAATTATGAAATTATAATAAAAATGTAATTTCCCTTAAGGAAAATACATATAATTTCAATTATCTAATGTCTCATAGAAATCAAGTCGAATTAAAATGAGACTTGATAGCCATGTGTAATAAAAACTAAAACGGCTTGCCATACGCTTCGAGCTCGGCTCGGTGGCGAGATGGGAAGGCATTTCAGTCTTTGCAATATTGGTTGCCTACTTCTGGGGTAAAGTAGAAAACCTATTTTTTTCTGATATATGTATATTATATATTTTTATATATATATATCCGGATTATAGGCTAGAGAGCTTACGGATAAATAATTATAATTAATTATTATTATATATATTTCATATTAATTTAATTGCAATGTTCCTGTAATGTTGCAGGAACCTTTCATTAACAAAAATAACATTTAGTAACATTGCAATTAATACATTTAAGCAACATTTTATTTGTAAATGTAATGTTCCTGAGCCGGACATAAGGCTTTGTTGCAATGTTCCTGCAACATTGCCACAAGGAGTTTTGTAACATTACATCTAACAAATGTAACTTTCAGTAACATTGTAGAAATATTATTTTTCCCAGTGGGCTATTTAGGGATGTGAAAAAATGTTTTTTTTCAGATGTGAAAAAAAACGTTAAAAAAAATCCGTTTTTTTCAAATCCTCTACAATAAAGCATTTTCTGTCAATAAATAACATCAATCTTAAAAAATGGAGTAATTTTTCGAAATGAAATTTTGAGTAAAATGTATATTAATAATTAAGTGAAATGTAGAATATTTACATTTTTCATTATTGAAAATTTTGACTGAGACTAAAAAATCTGATTCCTTATTATTTGGTAGTTTCCACATAAGAAACCAATAACAATGTAAAACCTCTACACTAATAGAAAAAATTAAAGGATAAAAAAAATTCCAAATTTTGTGCTATTTCTCGGATAGCTGTAAGTTCGTTAAAAATGGTCGTATTGGAGCCGTAAAAATAGCAATTTGAAGGTTGAAGTGTTATAGGTAGTTACTTTTTTTAGGACCAAATCAAAACAAGCGCGGCCCTTATTGGTCCATTCGGTGGTGGTGGCGCGCGTGCATAGCGCGAGACTGTATTTACATTTACTAAATGTCATTTAGTGGCTAATTTTAGTCCATAAACTGGACTGGAAACATAAAAAATTAGGCAAATGGGACAAATCTTGAAAAAAACCTAAAATATGTAGAAAAAAAACCTGAAAAAAACGGACCGTTTTTTTCAAGTCGCATCACTAAACCTATTGTGTTTTATATAAACTGCTCCACAAGAGTTAAGGATATTGTATAATATACTGCAGTTTTAGTGATTTTTTACACTTTTCAAAGCTTTCAAACATACGAATTTTTTAATTAAAAAAAATAATCCTAGTATAGATTCTTTGGAAAATTTTATGCTCTACAAGAATCCGCGACGTAAAAAAATTTATCTCAAACGGTTCAAAAGTTATATTCTTTTTAATGAAAAAAGATTTTTTTACGTGTTATTTCAATGGAAAACTTAGAATGCTCACCGACACCTTTTAAAATTGAGCAAAAAATTTTTTGCTCGGTATGTAGGTTCATTTTAACCCATAAATCCGATAGATTAGTTTTTTTGGCTCACCCTACTATACAATGTATTAACATATTGTTTTGGAAAAACATATTTCTTTATTTTTTGAGAATTTTTTATTTTTTAAGAGTTTTTTGCTTTTATTTTTATGTTTAATGCAAAAAATATAGTTTTTGATATTTTTGTAAACTAAACGTTTTATTTTCCATAAAATAATTTACCGTTATTGGATATTTTGCAAGAATCACCAATATCCCTAACTCTTGTGGAGCAGTTTAGTTTAATGCAAAACCCATTGTAAATTTACAAAAAAAAAACTAGAAAAAAACTTTAAGATTTAAATTCTTTATTTTTACATTTACTATAGGATAACATTAATTTTTTAAAAGACATCAATTTTAATTTTTTTATGTTTCTAATAAATTTGTGCTGATAATAGCTAGAAAAACGGGTGAAACAAGATCGAATCAAAAAAATATAAGAAAAAAGTAAATTCCATAAAATATTCGTTGTGTAACTGCACATGTGTAACACATTTTTTTTACAACATAGACAATATTATACATTTTTGTGGACTTTTTATTTTATCATACAGGCTGAAGCATATTATCTATGAATCACCCTGTATCTAGTCTGTTCAATTTTTTTGACAGATAAACAAAATGTACCTACCTATTTTTAATATTTACAAAATTGACTATATTACTTAACATTGAGTATTACAAATTATCACAGTTTTTTTATAACCAAAAAATACATGTTTTAAGAAAAATAAAAAATAAAACCAAAATGATAATGTAAGGTATAGTATTTTTATTTAATAATTTCAACATAACCAATAACTTGTTTTCATAAATACAACATTTTTTTAATCACAAAGCATGTAATAATATTTTACAAAAAAATCAACCAATTTTATTATTTAATTTTTAAAAAATTAAAGCTTTTTTAACGTTTTTAAACAAACGTTCAAAAATATTTACAAAAAAATCAGCGTATACCAACTTGAGCAAAAAAATTCACCAAAATAAAGATAATAATACTAAAATTTTAATTTTGCACCAAAAAAACACTTGAGCTTCTAATATCCCAAAAAAATTAAGTACAATTTATTAAATAAATATATATTGAGCTATACCCTAATTTCATATACCGGATCATCAAAAATAAATAAAAAAAAACCTAAAAATTCATTTATGTCATACAAAATAACCACAACCGGTATACAAACCAATAGGGATCCTCAGAAAAATTAAACTAATATTCTGTACAATTCTTAAATTAACTAAATTATTATTATACATGTCTTTTTATCTATTTTTTTCATATTGCAGCAACTTCTGTTTATGTTTTAACATTTTTACAAATTACTCCAAAACTGTAAATTTTATAAAAGAAACTGTAAAATAACAAAAGTTTTACGATTTTCAAGCTTTAAAATGACATTTTAAAAAATATTCTATGATGAATCGTTCACGGCGTAAAAACAGTGCAACTTTTTTTTTAAACTTAATATCTTAAGTGTTAAATCGTAGCAAAAAGTTGTAATTAACCAAAATAATCTAAGATAATCAACGATTACAATGATGTAAGTTTGGAAGTAACAGCGTGTCAAAGTTAATCAACCTACAATTGTAGATCGTGGAAAATCGCGACTTTGATCATTTTAATCCCCAATTACTAGAGAATATTTTTATATTTTACTGTTTTTCAGTAACTCCAACTCTTGAAGAGTAACACTAAAATGTGAAATGATGTGGCGTTTAGAGCATTACACCTCGGAAACTTTAAATCGTATAATATTTTGACTTTTTAAACCTTATTAAGCGTAAATTATTTTGTAACTTTAATTGTTGAAGAGTTATTCGCAAAAATGTGTCATCCTGTATTATTTTTAAAGTGAGATCATTATATCTTATATACAGGTCATTTCAAAAGACACAGAGCGTTAAATTGTTGATTTATTTATCTTTTAAGCCTAGAATGGAGTGCTCCATTAAACTGGAGTTAGGTTGGTGGGCGTAGTTTCTAATTTGATGCAGACTGATAAGTTGGTTTGGGAAACCGTTGCTAGGTTGAGATTTGGGTATGTCAAGAGAGTTTTGACTCTTCTGGAAACTAAGGGCGTCGTAGATGTAGGGGCGATTGGGCGCCAATTGGTGGTGGTGGTTCATCAAATGTCCCGACATAGAGTTTATGGGCGTAAAGGCTGAGTTCGTGTTACTTTTAGATATCGAAGTATCGTACGGAGAATTAGACAAATTATTATTTGAGTTTGGATTATTCGGATTTTGCTGACTCAACTGTTGCCTAATTATGACCAAATCCTCGTTATTCTCCAGAATATTCCGGGGAATATTATTATCATAGTCGTGCATATTTTCTGCGGAATCCGGGGATACTTTAGGCCAATAGGGGTGCTCCAAACCTCTGTGGTTCAGCCCTGGAATAAAACCTACAATTCAATAAAGAATACTGCTCTAAATACATACTAAACTTGCACATATACCTATGTCTTTATTTGCCGTTTAAATGACAGTTTAAGATTAGAAAGTTAAGGCAGTTGTACAGTTGTTTAATATTAGATTAATGACATAAAATATGTATTTCTGTCGAAACTGACTAAATAAACCATAAAAAGGTGTCAAAATCTTGTATGGTGTTAAAATAACTGTCAAATAGCAAAAAGTAACAAATATGTAATATCTCTTATCAAAAATGTATTTTCTGTCAAAAACCATAGAACTGCCAAAATAACCGTCAAAATCGTGTTTTATTCAGTGATAATAAAGTAGTGTTTAAAAATAAGTTTCAAAATCGCGAAAAAAGTTTTAAAAATGTAATAGGTATATGCTGCGAGAATCGTCAAAATAGCAAAATGTAATTTCTGTAAAAAATATGACTTTCTGTTAAAAGACATAAAAACTGACTAAATAAAACTGATGTCTGACTATTTTATGAAAAAGAACTGTCATAAAAGCGAAAAAGTTTTATCAAAAAACGGCAAACAATTTAAAGGATGTAATATTTAGTGTCAAAATTGACGTAGGTATCTGTCAAATTTAATGCAAAACTTTCAAAAAAGCGAAAAAGTATAAAAAATATTAAAATTTCTTAAAAACTGACTAAATAAAACTGATGTCTGACTATTTTATGAAAAAGAACTGTCATAAAAGCGAAAAAGTTTTATCAAAAAACGGCAAACAATTTAAAGAATGTAATATTTAGTGTCAAAATTGACGTAGGTATCTGTCAAATTTAATGCAAAACTTTCAAAAAAGCGAAAAAGTATAAAAAATATTAAAATTTCTTAAAAACCAATGAAACACTCAATAAAAGGAAAAAAAATTGCATTCAAATTTTAAAAATCCACTGCAATGTAATTTTTAACAATTAACTGTCAAATTATTATTTAAAAACATTTGTCAAAATATTGGAAATTGTGTAAATACACAGTTTTTAAACATTAATTATAAATTTTTTGACATTTCCAAATTTAACTAATCTATCAAAAAATCATGAAAAAATTACAGTTATGGTTTTAAAACTGTCAAAAAAACCTAAACCGTCAACTATCATATTCTTTCATAACCCTGATTTTTCACATAATATCAAAAATTACATTTGAAACGTCAAACTGACATTTCAACCGACAAATCTAACATTTGAAAAGTCAAATTTTATAGTTTTAGTGTCAAAAACTAAACTGCCAGTTTGAACTAAAAAAAATTGAGTATTTACCTAGTCCTCCGGGTCCGATGGGCGGCCTTTTGTCGGTTCTTTCTGCATGCTTTTGCATGTGCTTGCTGAGATAGGTTTCTTGCGTGTAACTCTTGCCGCAGTACTGGCAGATGTGCGTCTTAAGGTGCTTGGATTCCTTGTGCTTGGGGATGTGCTCAAGCAAGGAGGGTTCGTCCGAGAAGCACTTGTAGCAACTGTTGCACTTGTACGGCTTGTCGGTCTGGTGGCACCGGGAGTGCGATTGTAGGTTGGAAAGCTGGGAAAAGGCTTTCTGGCAGCCTGGGTGTCGACACCTGAAGAAAATTTTTTTTTTTAATTAAAAAATGTTTGCATATTGTCAAAATATGTTTTTAGAACACATCGTTCTTTTCACAATTAATGTTGTTCTTTTAGCTTTTCATTTTGAATGTCATTTTTAATTTCGTTATTTTAACTTCTTAACAATTTATTTATTCTTGCTATTTTAGTTTGTGATCATTTAAAATTATCATTTTAGCCCAGGTAGCACAACGTGACGAAACCGTGACGATTTGTGGACACAATGGACACAAATCGTCACGGTTTCGTCACGTTGTGCTACCTGGGAGCTTCGCGTTATTATTTATTTAATCTTGTCGTCATTTGAGCTTGTCGTTATTCAACCTTGCCATTTTAGATTGGCATTTAAAATTTCTATTTAAGCTTGTCATTATTCTTAGCAAAATGTTAACTTATTAACATTTTAAACATCGTTATTTAAGCTTGTTAGTTTAGCTTTTCGTTATTTATTATTTAAGCTTGTAGTAATTTTGGCTTGTTAACGTTCAAAATTGACACTTTAGCTTGTCATCATTTAAGTAAATACTTATTTTGTATTGCCGAAATTTTAGCTAATTATTATTTAAGCTTTTTAATATTTATGGTTAAAGTCACTTCTTCATTCTTCATTATTTAAACTTGTCGTCAATTTACCTCGTAATCATTTAAGCCTGTCCCTATTTAAACTTATCATTGTTTAAAATTGTCATTAAATTATCCAACAATTTAACTTTTTTATTTTGTTACATAAAAAGATAAGATGTCATATGAGCTTGTCGTTATTTTAGGTTTTCGTCAATTTATCTTTTGATTATTTAAAATTGCCATTGTAGGTAGCTTGTAGTGATTTAAAAAGACTTATTTTGTATTGTCGATATTTTAGCTTGTCATTATTTAACCGGTTAAATCTTAAATAAGGACCTCATTTTAATTGTCACATTTAAGCTTGCCGTCATTATTTAAAATTACTATTTAAGCTTGTCATTATTTAATATTTATCCTAAACGGTGACAAAAAGTTAAAATTAAATAGCTTTAACAATTTTCAAATGTCATTTTAGCTTGTAATTTAAAAGTGTAATTAAATTATCCAAATGAAACTTTTTCAATTTTTAACCTAAAAACCTATATTTACATTTCATTTAAAAATACACTTCAAACGTCAAAATACAAGAACCGCGACCTGGTGAATTTAAATACCATCGTATGGCAACACCGCATGTGTACCATTTTAATATCTTAAAATGTCAAATTACGTCAACAGTTCAATTTCAATAAATCAATAGAGGAAGGACAAAAAAATATAACAAAGCATTGCTTTGATTGTATAAAAGATAATGATAAAACTGTTCTTAAAATAATTATCTTAACTTTGTTTAATACCTATATCGAAAAAGGTTAAGTTACCAAAAAATACAAAAATCTAAAAATAATAAGCTATAAAATGGTAGAATAGATATTATAGGCTAGGATTTATAGTCTTAAAATTACAACGCTCTAAGCGCCAAAAAAACTTGATTTAAAAAACATACTTTATAACCAGGGCCGTAGCGACGGACTCAGGGGCCCCGGTGCAAAACTTTAGGATAGGATAGGATATCGAAAATTACGATTTTTTAGTAAAACTTTTTAGTTTTGGGGGCCCCTTTGAGGTCGGGGGCCCTGGTGCACCGCACCGCCTGCACCAGCCTCGCTACGGCCCTGTTTATAACTAATATTATGTAGTTGTAAAATATGAAGTACCTACAGTGTGACCCATTTGTTTGCGACTCACACCTGTAACATCTTTAATTATTGTGCGATTTTAACTGGATTTGTTTACATGGTAGGTACTATTACTAAATATAAGTTCAATTTTATTTCAATGTTTTTTTCATGGAAAACTTGACAAAACAAATTGTTGTAGTTATTATTGTGCATTTTTCTACTTAAAACTTTTAAATATAATTTAGTAAAGACTCTTTACTAAAGAGTCGTTTTAAGGGGTGGTGCATCCAGTGCCGTGCTTAGATTTTGTTTAATCGCTAATATGAATCCTTAAAAATTTACTCTTAAAAACTGATATAGTAGGCCTTGTATTTTGTAATAATATGGCGTCTTTAGCTCCAAAAATACAGTTTATCAAGATCTACACTTTAAAACAAATCCGGTTAAAATCGCACAATAAATAAAGATTTTACAGGGCTGAGTCGCAAACAAATGGGTCACACTGTATATGCAATTAATTTTTCTCAGCTGATATTTCTAATATACGGGAATATTTAAATAATGACTAATCCCATGCGTACATAATAAATTGTAAGAAAATGAAAGTTTTTTATAACAACTTGATACAGTTACTAACATTGACCTTCGTTATAAATAATAAATTAATAAGAATAATTGCAATATGTTTTAATAATATATACAGAAAAAAACCATTTTTAATAAAAGAACAAATAAAAACAAAATGTCAACGATCAAATTAGATGCAATTTTAATTATGCAACCTTTTAATCACCGATATAACGCTAGAAAAACCTACAAACATGAGTTGGGTATAAGAGTCGTATGAGGCCAGTGGTGCTTTAAAAGTTATGGTAAATTAACTTTAAAATTGAAATTTGACAGTTTGATGACAGCCCTAATAGAATAGGGACGTTTAAAACGATTTTTAATCTGTATGAACAGCACAAACCCATCACTAGAATTGTAAACAACATTCGAGTCTGTGCAGTGTCGCAGTGATTTTTAGTATGCGCGAAACGACATATTGTTATTTGGATTGTGGTATTGCGCATGTCCTTGGCGTTAATTTCAAAGAAAGCCCATGTCTGACAGTGCAACTTTTTTTTTTAAGGTTTTATTGGCTTTTAGTCTTTTTCAGACTATTTAGCCAGCTCATGATGTTTTTATTTTTTACTAAACACCCAAGGCTGTGACAGGGAATCGAACCCTGTACCGTGGCGCAGATTGATTACCGCTCTGTAGCTTTAACCCACTGCGCCATCCTCGGCCCCGACAGTGCAACTTCTCGTGGCGACTTTGCTGCGGTGCTGCCAACTTAACCGAAAGTTACCAAGTTGAAAAACAAAAATAACTAAACAAAATTAATGTTTATTTAAATTGGTTTTTGTTTTTCTTTTAAGTTTTTTTTAATATTTTAATAGAATAGACAAGCTGATTAGTTGTGACCAGGTCGCTGCAATATGTTGCACCGTCAGACATACGCTGAACAAACCAATTTAGCCAAATTGTCGAAATGAACAAACCCAGTTTGAACTGTTTTTCTTCTTAAAATAAAATTTAAACCGAACACAATATTTTGCACTGCTTTTGCGCTGCTGGTGATGAAAAAAAAAGACTTAATTTGTGCGATTTGGAGAGCAGGTTTTGTCAATTTCCCCTATTAAGTTCGGGCTCCTTGTGTAGGCCCCATGCTTTGACATGTCATGTTTACTTTCTGCAATGTCTGTGATATTTATATAAAATAATGTTTATAATTGTTTATTATTTTTTTAAATTAAATTTAAAACATGTCTGAAAACAAATTTGTAAAAATGTAAACTTAAATTGATAAAAAAACACATTTTAAAACATGTTTTAAAAGGTTTAAAACATAAATTGACAAAACATGCCCACTAAATCGCAGAAATTAGGTTTTCTTTTATCATCACCAGCGGCGCTGATTGTCGATGGTTACTGACGTCTGCTGTTATGGTGCTTTTTTGGTACAAACCAAACGATAAACAAACGTTAAAAAACATAACCTAAAATGCCGTCTTAACGTTTGATTTTTCAAATTGCGACGTTCGACATTTTGCTTAACAAATTTCCAAAAATCGCGGTGTTGCCAAATTTCCCAAAAACTTACTTGTACGGTTTATCTCCGGTGTGCGTCCTGATGTGCTGCTGCAGATGACTGAGCTGCGTGAATTTTCGCTGACAGATCTCGCAACGGTAGGGTTTGATGCCCAAATGAATGCGCGTGTGTTGGCTTAGGTACGAGGAGTTTGCGAACGCTTTGCAACACTGCGAGCACTTGTACGGCTTGGCTTCGCGCATGTGCGCCTGCGTGTGCAGCTGCAGCTCCGCTTTTGAACCAAAAACCTGAAAGAAAAAAAATAGTCAAAAGTTTGCATTTTTTAAATAAACCTAACTTAAAACTACCATTTCGACGTTTAATATGCCAATATAGTTAAAAACTCATAAAACCTAACCTCAAAATGTATAAAATTACAAAAACCATCAATCAATTTTAAAACTATCAAAAAGTAATCTCAAAATCTCGTAATATTAAAAAATGGACAAAACCTTTAAATACTTTGTTAATTGTAAAAATGTTAAAAACACAAGCTAATTAAAATATAGTTTTTGACGAAGAAATCTCAAAAATACTAAAACGTTAAATAAACTAAAAAATGGACGTTCGAAGTAAAAATACAAAACAGTTTTGACGTTTACCTAATAAAAAACAAGAAAGAATAGACCTTGAAAGATTATTTCCGTTTGTTTTTATATTTGAAAACAGTTTAGAATTTTTTCCCACAAATTAAAAATTAATTACATAAAATGCGTGTTTTTCTAAAATTTGACTGGAAATTTTATCAGTCAAATAATATTTTATTCCCATTTCATAATTTTAAGATATAAAAATATTATTTTGGTAAGTACACGAGATGTATAGGAAGAATTTACCATAAATAAACAATTTAAAAATTCGGAAATTAACCTTGGCAATAGAAATTAATTATGATCAAATTAACCAGATAATAAATGCATCAGAAATATAAAATATTAAAATTTATTATTTTTATTTAACAACAATTCTAATCTTCGAACAAAGAACTACTTCTGGTTTTATTCAACCAAGCGGCCTTCAAAAAATTCAATACCACGGTCGTTTATAACATGCAGATATACATGTGTACACCTTTTTAATTTTTACACCTACTTTTAATCATTGTATAAGGAAGCTGGACTTTAATAAGTTAAATCATATATGATTTAACTAAGTTTAATCCAGTTTCCTATGGTAATCATGATATTACCATTTAACATAGCTATGCTAAAAAATAACAAGTGATGCCAGATTCTGTCAAAAAAATTCTGCATATTTTGTTTGAATTTACTAGACTGAAGTTTTTGACATTTAAACTGTCAAATTAAAAGCAAAGCAAGTCATGTGTATATATTTGAACTAAAATATTATTAAAATCAATAATGCATATAAAACTGTCATGAAAAACCCTTGTAAATTTGAAATCAAGGTTCAATCTTGTGTAGTTCGACACGAAATACATTTTTTTAAATAAAATAAATTATTATAATTAAGTTATAACCACAATCAATTTTTTTCACTTGCAATCATTGATGTATAAAATTAATCCAGTAAAGTGACCTTATAGGCAATACTATTAGACGATTTCTTGCGGTCGATATTTATGTCAAATCAATCTGAGCGTGACAATATTTTTGTAATAAATTGCACAAATATAATAACATAAAAAGACTGTACTTTTCTTGATATACTCAGTCAATTTTTTTCTAATTCCTATTAATAATAAAAAAGTTATAGGCATTTCCACAAAACTCGATTTTCTCATAAGTTCTATATTGGACTTGAACCCTGCATCGTGTACTTAAGCGTTTTGTCTTTGTAATGCATGACCCTTGCGGGTGTCTTGCAAAGCTGCTTTTTAGCTAGTTTATTAATAATATTCAAGCGTTCTATAATTTAAGCTTTATTATCGTAAACGCTCACTATCAAACTTTTTACATCCTAGTCTATAAAAACCTGTTGGGACGAATAAAAAAATTCGATGGCATCTCTGAAGCTATCTAACCTCACTTTTACTTTTAATAATTGTTATAATAATTGTGTTTTATACTTTTTATGTATCGTTTAACAAATTAAACTGTGCTTTAAAGAAAAATGTTGTATGCCATTCCTCTGAGAAGTGTCTTTTTGTGTTTCGCTCAATTGTCAAACTTTAAGCTCCGCACAAAAATACGCACTTCTCAGTCTTATGATATAAAGAACTAATTATTATACCTAGTACCTATATAAAAAAAATGTCATCTTCAAAATGACACCCAAAGTTTTTTGTTTGACTTTGGCATATTAGAGATATGTATGTCAAGAAAAAATCTGTAATTTGTTTTTATAAAATTACCTGTATCTTCTTTTTTAAAATAAAAAAAATGTATTATAATACATTTTTTTTATTTTAAAAAAGAAGATACAGGTATAAATAAAATAAATATAAATAGGTATATAAAACAAAATAAGCTTTAAGGCAGCAATTAGTTTTTAAATATCTCCACCACAAAAGGCAGCAATCAGTTTTTAAATATCTTCACCACAAAAATATACTTGTGTTTTATAATAATCCCCTTTGTTAGACATAATATAAATTATATAATTCTTATAAATCAAGGTGTGCCACAACGTTAAAAATTAAGGAAGCATTTGTTCTTTGCGCCTAGGTCAGTCTTTATCAAGGCCAACCACTATTCCGCCTAAAATTTCAGACTATGCAGATTTCGTATATATTTTTAAGAACTAATAATTTAACTTTGTTAGATAATTTTTTTTTACCGTTACTAGAAAATATGAAACTGGTTAAATGCAGGTTTTTTGTAAAAAAATTATATTTTTTTTTAAACCAGTTTACGCTAATTTGTTATATACAGGGTGTTTTTTTGTTTAAAAAAAATATTTTTAATCTTTTTTTTAAACATTTTGAAAAGATTATTGTAAAAAATTATTAAAATCACTAAATTTACAAATATTACCCCCAAAAACTAAAACATCTAATAAGAAAAACCCAAAAAAACTAAAAATCTTACTTTTTCTTCCGAAAAGTTTTCCCCTACACTTAGGGGTGTAGGAGGGGTTGTTGGTGTATCCCCTCGATCTTCCTCCTGAGGTTGCAACCTGTTTTCCAACCTGGAAACCTCGTTGGAGTTCCTTAGGTTCTCTAAATGATTTTTATATTCTCTATATTTTAAATCATTAACATCTGAATTTTGTAGTATGTTATGCTGTCTGTCGTTAGGTATAGGTCCTAGGCGGTCGTTATACAATCTATTTTCCAGGTTTAGGTTAAGAGAACGTTCACTGTTTAGGTTGCGGTCTATGAGGGTTAGGTTACGTTCGCGGTCTGAATTTGGAGATAAATTTCTATCCAAGATTCTGTCATTATGAATTAGGTTCGGTTGGGTTAGGCTTCTTTCTAGGTTAAGGCGTTCTATGCTTAGAGAGTGATCCAGGTTCATGCGGTTTTGCTCTGAGATCAAGCGTTCAAGGCTTCGTTCTTGTTGTAGTCTGTCTTGTAGGAGTCTATCTGCAGAATTCAGGCTTAGGTTTAATTCTAGGCCGTTGTTTAAGGTTTGTGGGTTCAATCTATCGTTTTGGTGTAGATTTAGACGTAGATCAACATTTCTATCACCAAGTCTATCGCCTAGGGATCGTAGAGTATCTATAGAAATAGACCTGTGGATCTGAGAGTAGTTAGGTTGATTTTCAAGCAACATGTTTGAGGTTGAGTGGTGGAAATCTATTCCACCGGATCTGTAATCAAGCCGTCCTTCCAGTTTTTCCAAAAAAATCAACCGAAATAAAAAAAACTGCACTTATCTAACACTTAATGTCCAGAAAGTCAAAACACAAGAACTAATAATAATAACATTGGTAGTATGCTAGCAAGATGTGTCTAGTACGAGAGCAAAAAGTGTACTGAAAAGCCGACAGCATGCTCGATGTAAAAACGCGGCGCGTTGTGTTTTGTTTCCCGTCCTTTTTTGTTACACTCTATGCTTACTAGATGTTTTCTCTCTTTCGCCTCTCTAAGATGGGGTAGGGCATGGCTTCGGTCTCGGGCGGTGGTGGAGGGGGTAGACGGTGTTAGCGGCGAGAGTCTAAAGGGGTGGGGGGTGCAAAGGCTGCCCTTACGTAACAGCGGCGTTAAAAAATATCACGGTGTCTGGATTTTTTTCTCTTCTCTCAAAGAGATTTATTTGTTTGACCCAAAGTTGTTGTATAGGTGTTTTTTTTGGAGATTGGTTCAGGGGGTGAATCAACAGGTCACTTTTGCACAGTTTTTGGATAACTTAATATACAGGGTGTAACATACAGGTTGGGTCGATATTTATGTCATCTATTTGAGAATGACATTATTTTAGTAATAAATTAAACAAATAATATTTGTTAATATATTATTATAAGATGTAAAGATGTATTTAATAGACTGTACTTTACTTAATATACTTACACTACAAATTGTATGTAAATCCTATTAATAATAGTTATGGGAAACTCCACAAAACCCGATTTTTTATAAATATTAGGTATATCGGACATAAACGCTTATATTTACACATAGTTGGAATTTTGTAAAATTTTAAAAGTATCTGTTTGATCTTGATATATAAAAAATATGTTAAAAAATACCTGTCGTTTTTTTTTAAATCATCTATATCTTTATCTTTTAAATACTAAAAAAATTAACGCTGTAATCCATTTTTATTTTCTTAAACAAATCTTTATCTTCAATTTAATTTAATTTATCTTCAATTTAATTTAATTGTTGACAACACTTATTAAGGTAATTGATTATGGCCTAGGCACCGATTATTTTGACCAATCGAGTTTATTCATGGCCTAGGCCTTAAAAATTAATTATTTACTACTTTAGACCAATACAAAAATTCGACTTCTGTCGTTCTTTCTACTTTTAATAATTGTTAATTTTTATTACAATTATAAAAGGTACCTACAATTATAATTCCTTTCATGTATCGTTTAATAAATAAAATTGTGTCTTAAATGTTGCAAGCCATTCGGCCAAGAAGTGTCTTTTTGTGCTTCGCTGAATTGTGGGCCTCCGCTACTCGTTGGCTAAATTTTACTCATAAGCCATATTTGTAATATTTCTTATTTTTATCGGAACTTTTTAAGGTTTAAAGTGGTATAAAAACTATTAATAATGACTTAAGTTAAAAATAAAACTGAAATTAAATTAATAAAGAAGTTATCAAATATTTAATAAATACTTCTTTAAAAATATTTTAGAAAAAAGTAAAATATAATCTTCCAATCATTACGAAGCTATTCAAATCAAATCATTTGTTTTAAGAGTTATATAAATGAAGCGTGGTATCCCTAAAGGGTCTAAGTGCCAAAAATAAAATTATGAGTAATTAATGAAAAACAAATATTGTGCACATATAAATGTACAGGCAGAGCCATCTTTAAAAAAGTAAAAAAAATACTTACAAAAATAATATGGAGTTGAAATATTTTTTATGTCATTCCGCAAGGCACATCGACTATTTTTAAATGATAATATAATATTTGACCAACATGGCACTTAGGCCCTTTGGGAATACCATGCTTCTATTATGTATGTAAGTTTTTATTTATTTTGTACATAAGTCATTTATTTATTTTAAACACTAGAGTATTTAGAGGGCATATATTTTTTATAATGTATAAAAGCTATTTTTATCAATAAGACAAGATTGAGTTTTAATGCTAAATAAAATTAGTTTTATCAATATGTTATATTTTATAATAATAAATATAAAATATAAATTAAAGAGGCATGTAGTAAGTAATTTTGCCGTTTTAGTTTACTTTAAAAATAACTTGGAAGTCAACTTACATAATGTATATATATATACATATATAATATTATAAGTAAAAATTTTATTTTATTTTAACTTAAATTGCTGCTTGGGTAGCGTAAAGGCTGGGAAAAAAATTTAAAACGTATGGATAAAAGCTTCCATCTTTAACAAATATATTTTACACTAGTGTAAATATGTATTAAAACGAAATTGTTTATTTAAAGTATTATTTTTAGGAATCCATTTTTTTGCAAAATGTTTTATATGAACAATAGAAATTTTTTATATTTTTAGGCATATTTGAGTATAAAATAAATAAAATGTCTTTCGGAAAAGAGTTTCTTACTAAGAAATTAGTTTTGCCTAGGACTATGACCAATATTTTGTATGCAAGATTTATTTTTAAGATAGTTGGTAGCGAAAGATTGGCATACAACTGATCTATAGTTTAAATTTATAGTTTTAATTCCACTCCCTCCAAACGCGTTTTGTTACATTACGAAACATCATTTTTAAATTTCAACATCTTTTCTCCAAGAAATTGTTAGTTGAAATTTATAATCGAAACGATGAATCAAATTTTTATCCAAACCAAATTTGAACGATTTCTCTAAGAATGTTTTATGGAAAACATTTTCTTTTGATGTAATTTAACCTTATAAATCTATAGATTTTTGTGATTGAGCATTTCTGAGGGCGCACTTGCTGGATAGTTTGTGTGTATATTTTTAGTTTTAAAACATAAACTACACTATATTGTTTCGAAGCTTTGAAACAATATAGTCTGGTTTCTGTTTTAAAATTAAAAATATACACAATACTTCTCAACGCATAAAGTTAAGCTGTAGTCAAAATCTATAATATACAGTTACTGTAGTATTTTAAGTGTGCAACTGTGTAAAAATCGAAACAGTCCTTATGTCCTAACTGCTATTTACTAATAATAAACATAGTTAAAATAAAAAAAGTAAAATATAGCACTTTAATATCCACTTATGGAGGAAAATATTTTTAAAAAACATAAATTTAATACCTACAACAATTTTTATTTTGCTGTCGTCGAGGGGGGAAATCTCTTAAATTAAACGACCGCGAAAATAAGTCCTAAAAAAAAGGATGCAATTTTCACTGCCTTTTTTAAATACAGACTTCACTGTACAATAAATTACTTTACTAATTACTGTAAAAATTAATTTTCTTATTAACAGTATTTATTTTTAAATGTTTTTTATACTAAAATCTGTATAGAATTAAAAAAACTCAATAAAACCCACATATAAACCCAAAAAAGCCCTGTGGGTTGGGTTTTATATAAAAAACAGGTTTTTTCCAACATATTAAGACATAAGCATGATAATTATGACACGTGATATTGAATGTGTCTTAATAGCCCATTAAATTTAAGTTATAAGTTGTTTGCGGCTTTTGCCTGTTACCATGCATGTAAACAGCATGGCCGTGCTCAGGAAATGCTCCTGGGTGGAGGTTTTATGAAATTTAATAAAAAATATATATTTTAGGTTATTTTCCAGTATTTTAAGAATAATCCCGAGTCAAAATTAAGATCGTAATTTAAACCTTAAGTCTGACAATTTCCGTCTTAAACGGTTTTATATTCGCCTAAAGATAACCAACTTATGACCTAAAACATGGCAGATAAGTCCATTTTCCAGATTTTTCGGTTCTAATTACGTTTAAATTTAAACCAAAAATTTTATTAGAGGTTTAAATCGGTTTAAATCGGTTCAAATGAAGATTAATTCGGTTGTTCTAGTGCTAAATTGGAGTAAACAGACTGAACAGGTTTTAAATCAGTTTTGGTAGGTCAAAGTAGGTTTAAATTACGATTTAAATTTTGACTCGGGATATTTCATAAAAAATATATATTATTTTTTAGTTTTTAAGTTAAATTTCATAAAAATATGTATGTTAATTTTTAGTATTTAAAGAAAAAATTGTAAATTAGAACCCTCCTGGAGGGCCCCCGGGGGGGGGGTTGAACACCCGTGTGTAAGGGCCTGGTAACCAGTAACTTCCCGAGTCAAAATTTAGATCGTAATTTAAACCTACTTTGACCTACGAAAAGTGATTTAAAACCTGTTCAGCCTTTTAACTCCAATTTAGCACTAGAACAACCAAATTAATCTTCATTTAAACCCATTTTAACCTCTAATAAAATTTTTGGTCGGATTATAAACCAAGTAAATCATTTTATTTCAAAAATAAAATTGTACCATGATAAATTCCATTTTTTAATTTTACTGCAAATAATGAATGTAAAGAATTCGTCTTCGTCTTCAACCCAACCCGAACCAGCATTTACAATGCACTCTACCTAACTGAACTAAAATAATTAAAATTTAAATAAATCGTAAATTTCACTCATTTTGGTTTTTTCTTAACTACGTATAAATGATTTTAGGTAGCTAAAATTATTTATATATTATCGCTGCGCCTGCAAGAACCTCTATGCGCATTTTTACAAATTTTACAGGAGAAGAAAAAACATTTTACTACCAGATAAAACTTTTATGAAAGTATGCATTCCTTAATATTATTTCGATACTTAATTATACTGAAAAATATAAGGAAATATATTTCCTTACTAAAGTATACTTTCATCAAAGTTTTATCTGGTAGTGAAATGTCTTTTCCTTCTCCTGTAAAATTTGTTAAAATGCACATAGATGTTTTTTCAGGCGCAGCAATATATACTGTCCGTTCAGGCTAAGTTGAGCGGTCTAAGGAATGTCACCCCGTCCATCATCTCTATGTTCAGGCACAATTAAATACATGTATTTCGGTAGCCGCTCTGTACGAACAAACGGCAAGCCGCGGCACTGATAAATCATCTTCTTGTTACCGAAATCTCGCGACGATTCGATGTTTAATTTAATTAACGGCCACATGATCCCCCACCAAAGCGCTCAACTTAGCCTGAACGGACTGTATCTAAATTGAAATATTGTCGCTCTTTTATTAATCGACATGCGCAATTGCTTGGGCTGTAAGTTGTAAGTTTGTAACGGTCATAATTTGGTTCAAATTTAAACGTAATTAGAACCGAAAAATCGGGAAAATGGACTTA